ATTCTTCAGTCTTGTTTTTCCGATTATAACAATGACTGAGATCTAGCCAATAATATGCAAGCAAAAGACTATGTAGTTGAAGCAGCACAAAAAAGTGCGTGACCTTTTTACCTGCTGTCGGTCACTGGTGCCTTACACCTCTTCTCTGTCAGCAGAGGAAGCAATGGAGTCACGCCTACAGACATCTGACTGCCCAGATAGAACCAACGCTTCCTTTCGTGTAGCCAGTGTACAGCTGTCCACACCTGGATTTGTTTGATAGTTTTTATTCAAAGTTCTATATTGCAGGCAGATAAATGTTAGCCAGTAGAAACCTCAGCCTGCTGCTCAGCCAGTAGGTTTTGTGACTGGAAACGATAGAGCCTGCACTCCTGACCTCCTGCCTCAAAAAGGGAGTGGTAAGAAGGAAGAGAGATGGCGGCATGGGGGAAAGGAGCGAGGGAGAGAGGGAGAAAGAAAGAGAGCACATGTAAAACTACATAAAAACGGCACTGAAAAGAATTTCTGAAGACCTAATAAGCAGAATATAATTGAGGAGACTTGAATAAGAGACTGGAGTGAAAATCCCAACAGAGTGTGCAGGTCCTAGTTTTAATCTCTCAAAAAGGCAAAGAGAGAACATTACTTTCCTTTCCTGATGAGGCTTTTCAGTCTATAAAAACACAAAGCTAATCCCAATGAGATCTCACCCTTCACCTATTTAATTGCCTAGTCAAGAGCTAGCAAGTGATGGGGAGTAAGAGGAGGGGGAAGACTCTTGCACCCTTGGGGACTGTAGATTGGTAGAGCCACTTTAGAAACAGTGATGGGGAGTCCTTAAAAAACTAAAACTTTAGCTGTCCCATGATCCCAACCGTTCACCTCATACACCCAAAGGAAATGAGACCAAGACGTTAGAGAGATGCTAGCAATGGAAATCAACCACCGTGGCCACCAATAAGTGTGGGGACAGTAGAATACTACAACCAGGAGAAAGGAAATCATATCCATGTGTGATCATGCCTTGCTGTGCAAGATATTATCCTAAGTAAAATGAGCCAGACACAGAAAGATGAATAATTCATAAACTTACTCATGGGAGTAGAGAGTCTTGTGGTGGACAGCAGCCTCGGGTGTGACTGCAGAGGAGGGAGAGGAGACCAAAGGATGCAAACAAAATTCCAGTCAGGAACAAGCAAGGGACCTTTTGTCAACGAGGTGATTGTAGCTTACATTATACCTACTCTTGAAAAATGCTGAGAGTATATGTTCCAATTCTCACCACATAAAAAAGCTATGTAAAGCAATGCATAGGTCAATCAGCTACATTTGGTTAAATTCTTCAAAGTATACACGTTGGATGGTAGTGGCACATGCATTTAATCCCAGCACTCAGGAGGCAGAGGCAGGTGGATATCTGAGTTCAAGGACAACCTGATCTACAGAGCAAATTCTAGGCAGCCAAAACCATATAGAGAAACCCTGCCTCAAAAAAAAAAATGCCATGTGTATAACAATGACACTTCTATCTGTTTAAATACAGAAAAGGGCTAAGGAGGTAACTCAGCGGTTCAGCACTTGCACAGCATGCCTGAGACCTGGGTACATTCCCCAACACCACACATGCTCACAAGGAAAAGACAGAACTGATGATATATTATTTCTGATACCCAGTTATAGAAGAGCTGAAGTGCACACGCGCGCGCGCGCACACACACACACACACACACACACACACACACACTTTGATTCACTTGCTCTACCTCTCATTCCTCATTGTGCAGGAATCCAGATCCCACATTGCTAGATCACTCAGGCAGCCCACGGAGATGCTAACTAACACAGTGACAAATGACTCCCGGCCAACACCAGTGGAAACTGAAGTTGCCTGCCAACAGCTACACCAGTGAGTCCAGAAGTCCCAGTCAGGCCTGAAGATGTCAAGAACTGAAGCCAAAAATCCTAACTGCAACTTCAGCCGGGCGTTGGTGACGCACGCCTTTAATCCCAGCACTCAGGAGACAGAGGCAGGGGGATCTCTGTGAGTTCAAGGCCGGGCTGGACCGATAGCCTCCAAAACAATACAGAGAAACCCTGTCTCGTAAAAAAAAAAAAAAAAGGTCCATAGTAAAATATTTTAAAGATTTAGTGTTTACTTCTCTGTAGGTGTGTATGTTTCTATGCGTGTGCATGCTATGTCCTTATGGGTGCCCAAGGAGGGAGAAAACGGTGTTGGGTCCCCTGGAGCTGGAGTGAAAGGCAGTTGTGAGCTGCCCAACATGAGTGTTGGGCACCCAGGTCGTCCTCTGGAAGAGAACTGAATCCTCCTAACCACTGACCTGACCATCTCTCCAGCACATACTCTTTCTAAAGCTTCTGCTCTATTGGATGCTGTGTCTACTAAGTCTGTCCTCCCTACCCCGACTGCACTGAAAACCATGAGAAGTTTCTTTGGGGTCTCCCTTCCTGGTTTTACCCAGCCATTCAACACCCTACTATGAGCACAGTACCATGTTGGTCCTGTCAGTGTAAGTAAGGATGGGCAAGACACTGGGGTTGAGATTGAAAATTGTTTTCAGGCCGGCGTTGGTGGCACATGCCTTTAATCCCAGCACTTGGGAGGCAGAGGCAGGCAGGTCTCTGTGAGTTCAAGGTCACCCTGGTCTCAAGAACAAGTTCCAGGACAGCTTCCAAAGCAATACAGAGAAACCCTGTCTCAGAAAACAAAACAAAAATATTGTATTCAGTAGTGAAAAGTAATAAAAATGATACACATGAGCCAGTGAGTGTGCTCAGCAGGAAAAGGCACTTGCTGCCAAGCCTAATGATCTGAGTTCAATCCCCCAGGGACCCATAGGTGGAAACAGACTTCCATTGGTGTACCTGGCTGTGGGGAGCCGCCCCCACATTCTCCATTACAAAATGGCGCCGACACCCGGCCTTTATGCCCTGCAAACAAGTAGAGTGCGCACGTGCCTGGTACTTTTCCATCCCTTACTCTCTGCCTCTCCCGTGTCGTCATATGGGCTGATGAGCAGGAGCCAGTCAGGAGATGACACGTCCGAGGCGGGGACTGCTGGGCTATATAAGGGTTGGGCTTTTCGCTCCCCGGGGTTTCCGCTCTGTAAGCTTATGCTCTCCCTCTCAAGACGCATTAAAGCTGTTCTGCAGAAGGATCCTAAGTTCTTGCTGGCGAGACGGTAGCGTGGGACACCTGGCATGTACATGCCCTCACATATATACACAATATACAACAGACAAAATGTAATAAAAATGGTATGCATGAGGTAGAGACATGCTTTGTATCTTGTAACGTAAACTCTCCTTAAAGAAAAATGGAATTAGGAATACAAATTGGGAGTGACAAAGAATATTCAGAAATAAGTCACAAATTACCAGAGACTTGGCAACACAGAGCCCTATTCTTGCTTTTCTTTGGGCAGTTGGCAGGAGGATTTTTTTAAATAAATTCACACTGGTTATAAGCCCCCCCCCCCCCCCCGTCCCTCCCAACCAAGCCACATTTCCTGCAGTTCTCAGCACCACAAGAGGCCTGGTCAACTGAAGAACCAGGGTTTTTAAAGGTTATTATTAGCTCTCTGTTGCTGTGTCCAGTAGCTGAGTGTTGTGGAATATTATTTTAATTGGGCAAAGGCATGTTACATTTGTTTATGCTTCAGAATATTACTCTAACTGTATAAAGGCGTGTTACATTTGTTTATGCTGCATTTGTTTAACTGTGTAAGGCTGTATTGAATTTGTTTCATCTTGCCTGCCTAAGGCACCTGCTTGGTCCAATAAAGAGCTAAATGGCCAATAGCTAAGCAGGGAGAGATAGATGGGGCTAGTAGGCAGAGAGAATGAACAGGAGGAGACATTTAGGTCTGAAAAAAAGAATGAGAGAGAAGAAAGAGAGAACAAGGAGAAAAAGGCAGGCATGCCTGGGGCAAGAATCCCGGCATCAGACAGACAGACAGACAGACATGGGACGCAGTGAAAATAAGATATACAGGAGAAAGGAAAAGTAAAAAGTCCCAAGGCAAAATGTGGATAAAGAGAAACAGGTTAGTTTAAGTTAAAAGAGTCAGCCAGAACGAGCCTAAGCTAGGCCACGCATTGAAAACTAATAATAAGTTTGCGCGTCATGATTTGGGAGTTGGTTAGTGTCCTAAAAACAAAAAAACAAAAACAAAAACAAAAAACAAAACAAAACAAAACAAAAAAAACCTGGTATAGGTGAAATACTCAATTTAAGGAAGAGAAATTTATTTTCAGCCCATTGTCACTGACTCAGTGGTAGAGTGCATGGCTTCTGGTCTCAATCCCTAGGGCTCAAAAAAGGAAAAGAGGAAAGACTTAGTTACAAACCAGAATATGCCATCTTTCTTTTGTCAATGGGGTTTCCCAGTCTACATAAAAACACATCTATAATGAGGCAGAGTAATTACGGTGTGCAGCTCCAGAAGAACCCAAGCTACGTGTCTCGTAGCAAAGCCAGGAAGGGACAGAGGACAAGACACTCGTCCTCCAGGGTGTGTCCTCAGTCACCCACTCTCGTCACCCAGGTCTCACAGTTTCCATCACCTCCCAACAACCCACCGAATTATAAAGCCGCCACGAGGGAACACATCCGTGAGGTTGGCACCTTCAGTCCTCTTTCCGAAGCCACTTCTGATCATTGCCTCATCTGGGGAATTTCAAACCCAATCTGCAACACTTATTGATGACTAATGCCAGCAGACCAAGGGCAATTGAAAGACATCGCTTTGATTTAGTTAAGCCAGACTTCCCAGCGCAGTTAGCAAGGGATAAAAGCTGCCGTTGTACACAGTAAGAAGCAACAGCTGAGACTGTGTCTGGCTGTGACATCAGTCCATGCACACACACGTCGCCTGATCACTTCCTTTTCTGTCAAGTGCTGCCTGCCCATAGTGCTTGGTGGTCGTCTCTGGTCCTGGGAGGCACATGGCCCATGAGTTCCCCTTTGCTCAAATAAAACTGCTCAATTGTCTAAAGTGTTTTTGCTTTATTTTTTGGCACTGGGAATTAACCTAGGACACGCAGCATGCTAAGCACATGCTCTATGCTAAGCCACATCCCTAATTCCAAAGGTGGCTTGGTTTGGTGTTTTTTCTTATTATGCTAAACACGAAACTCAGGGTCTTGCTGCATGCTGGACAAGCATCCCATCACTGAGCTCCATTACCAGTCTGGAAGATTTAACATTAACAAAGAAAAAGTAAAACCACAAAAGGAAGCTGAGGATTTTGTCCAGGTGGTAACTCTAAACCCTCAGAGTCCGGCCAATCCAGGTTCCGAAGCAGTCGCTCAATTGTCTTCCTCCTAGTGACACATTTAAAAAAAAGTTTTACATTCACCTTTTCCAACTATTTTCATTTTAATACCTTGTTTTCCTCTTATCAAATGCTCTTTCTTGACATTTTTAAACTTTAATCCTCTTTCATATATGTCCAGATATTTTTTCATTTCTGTTTTGCTTTCTCTTGGCAGTACAATTGATGAAATGCACGTTAGGCAAATAGTCTCCCACTGAACTACATCCCCAGGTCTTTAATGCCTGTTTTCACAGGCCTCAGGAGATCAGATTCATTATCCCACAGACGGTCCTAAGCAAACTCTGTTAGACCATGCCGTAACCTGCAGACGTGACTACTGACTCATGAAGAGAAAATTGTTGTCTGAAGACTCCTTTGTCGTACAGGCAGAGAAGTTATAGTTTACACTCTGTCCCTGACTGCTTCCTCTTGTCCTTCCTTCCCCGAACTACAGAATCCAATACCCACCTTCTCAAACCCTGTGCCTGTACAAGTTGTCTTGACTCATTTCTCAATTCTATGTCATTTTTCTCTCTGGATAATCTTACCCATTTCTCTGGCAAACTGTTATCTTTACATTGACTTCTCAAACTGACAGCTCCATCCAGATCTACGCCCCAGCTCCTAATCTATGCTTCCATCTTCTAGATGACTCACCCTCCTATATTTATCATGGTGTACACACCTCTCACCATCAAACTGCAAGGAAACTTGGAGTCATCACCCTCACATTTGATCAATCACTGAACCTGGAAATATCACGGGAAACACCTCTGCTCTCTATCTGCCCAGGGTCTTTCTAGTAGCAACACATATTGCTTTGTTTTGTTTGTAGGGGATGGTGGTTGTTTGGTTTAGGTTTGAAACGTGGTCTCACTGTGTAGCCCTGGCTGGCCTAAAACTCTCTTTATAGGCCACCTTGACCTCAAACTCATAGAGACCAGGCCACCTCCACCTTTTGAGTGCTGGACTTAGATGCTAGTGACATCACATCTGGCCAGCACATCTTTTTTCACTTGAATTTTAGTTGTCTTACTGACTTTAGGTCCATGCTTCACAGGTAGATATGACTCATTAGGGTACAATATAGCAGAAGTAAGTAGCTAGGTTCAAATGTGAGTTCAAATACAACCTCAGTTCCCCTTCCTCATGGCTCCTAGTAAATCATTTAAGCCAAGTAAATTTTAATCGCTTGCTGCAGACAACAGGGGTAATCACAAGTCTCCTGGTCCCCTAATAAACGTTAACTGCCTTGTGAGCATCTTCCCCCTTGATAACAGGATATTGATGGGCCTGAGGTTCCCATAGGTCTTGGGTGGGTGATGGCAGCTGCTGTAAGTTGAAGAGTGCAATGGCCATGTGATGCCCAGAAGACAGTGTTCCACACACTCCATTGTTGTGGAAATTAGTTCAAGATGTGTTACAGTCATTTATGTTGTGGAATATTGTTGAATGGTGCAAAGATATGTTGCATTCTTTTTTTAAAATTATAAACTGTCAGCCATTTTCTTGGTTTCTTATCAGCTAGCTCTGCTTTAAGTATTTAACCCATAATTGCTAATCTGAGTATTTCCATGTGTCTTACCAGAGAAAAGGGTCTGGATCTCTTACTCCTCTGGCATCCTACATTGTGACTCACTCTGCTTCTCTTTCCCAGAATCCTCCTTGACTCCTAGTCCCACCTATCTTGCTTTCCTATTGGCCAACAGTGCTTTATTCAACAACCAATAAGAGAGACATACTTACAGAATGACATCTCCTCTTTTCTGTCTAAATAAAAAGAAAGGTTTTAACTTTAACATAGTCAAATTACATATAACAAAACAGTTATCAAGAACTATAGTTATAATATTTTATCCATTAACATTTAGTAAGATTCAAAGAAAATACCATCTATCTTATCTTTGTGAGTCTAAAGTCTTATATGTAAGTTGTCTTTTATCATAACTAAGGAAAACTATAATTATAACTATCTGTCTTTAACTCCATCAAAGACCACAGAATGATAATATATAAACACTAGAATTGACAGAGACATCTTGCTATCTGGACAGTCATCTGAAGTTCCTCTGTAATGTTGGGGCATCCATCTTCAGCTCATAGGTTACAGTGTGTCTAGAAGACTTCTCAGCAAAGCAGGAAATTTCAAGCTGTCCATCTGCATTGGCAGTCTGTCAGTCATTTTTCTGTGTCCTGCAGAAAGCCCGGCAGACTCTTCCATGAAGCAGGAACCCTGAAGGACTGTCCAAATTCAATAGTCACTTTTCTGTGGGTCCTGCATGTCCAGATTATACATCAACAGTCAAACGGTCTAAGCAAGAACAATTTCTTGCCCAAAAGGCTAATCTTGCCATATTGAAATCAAACTCCATAACGAAATTTCTTCAATGTCTCATTTTCCTCTCAGATGTAATTGATGTGCCAGGAGCAGACATTTCTTATTGTCAAGAAAACCCCTAAACCATTTTAAACACCATTTTCTTTTGTTTTTTTGAGACAGGGTTTCTCTGTATTGTTTTGGAGGCTGTCCTGGAACTCGCTCTGTAGACCAGGCCAGCCTTGAACTCACACAGATCTGCCTGCCTCTGCCTCCCGAGTGCTGGGATCAAAGGTGTGCACCACCAATCCCATTTTCTGAAGGTCTTTGAAAGGTTTGAAGACTATCTTAAATATATCTCTGTATATCTAGAAAACATAACTTACCTAACTATAAGTTCTGACTATTATAAGTACTATCTATAATCTGTATTTAATTATGCATCACATTTTAAACAATCAGTATAAACACAATACTTAATCAAAAGGAGAAATATGCATATTACAAAATTGACCTTAAATTTGTATGAATAAATTAAAATCCATACCAATACAAAGTATTTCTTTCCATACCTTTAAAAAGAGATTGATTGTGATCATTAACCAATTATTAGCAACCCCATTTAAGTGAAAACAAAAATTTACAAACAGTAGTTGGAAAATTGGGTGTTGTTCATTCCAAACTGCTTCCTGCTGATAGGGGGCACTGTCCATACCATGGGGATCATGACAACACACAGAAACCTGGCCAAAGTCCTTGTTTTTGTAGTCTGTAAAGTTGCATCATCTCAGCTGTTTTAGATGTTGAATCACTTAGGCCACTGCTTCTGGGGGTCTTGTTTCATCAAACCACAGAAGCCTGGAAGGAATCCACAGCTTTCCATTTTCAGAGAACAGGGTCGGGACCTCTTCTCTGGCGTCTTACATTGTGACTCCATGTTGCATTCTTTTATGTTGCCTTTGTTTAACTCTGTAAAGCTGTGTTACTGTGCCTGTCTAAAACACCTGATTGGTTTAATATGAGCTGAATGGCCAATAGCAGGAAAGATGAATGGGCAGGGCTGGTGGGCAGAGAATACATAGAAGGAGAAATCTAGGGAGAGGGGCAAGGAGTGAGAAAAGGAGGAGAGGAGGATGCCGGGGGTCAGCCACCCAGCCCCTCCTGTGTAGCAGGCTTTAATACCGATTTACTTATTTTTATGTGTACGAGTAGTGTACCTGCATGTGTGTGTGTGTGCGCGTGTGTGCCTTGTTCATGCAGATGCCAGAAGGTGTTGGAGCTCCTGGAACTGGAGATACAGGTAGTCATGAGCTACCATGTGGGTGCTGAGAACCTAATCCAGGTCTCTGCAAAAGCAGCCAGTGCTCGGAACAGCTGGGCTACCGCTCCAGACCCTGCAGCAAGCTTACTGCAATAACAGTGATGTCACTGTTGCACCACTGGGTATATATCATCTGACAGATGAACAGTGTGATACACAGGATGAGCCACAGTTGAATTCAAGACATTTGATGACAACTCTGCTCCAGTTGCCTGTGTAGCTAGCACCTTCTAGCATTAGGAAAGCAAGGCAGCCTATTCCACTTTGATATATCCTGCAACAAAAGTACATGGAGCCTTCAGCAACAGTGTCTGACAATTCTGCTGACAACAGTCAGAGATAGCAACAATGTGTATTGCTTTGGGGCCTCAGGAGTCTCTTTGGCCAACTGTAGTTGGTTGTTTTTACTCTTTTACTCTTTGTTCTTTTTTGGGGGGCTGTCCAGCTCCCAAATAAATACACACATATACATGGACGGAGGCTTATTTTTACTTATAAGTGCCTGGTCTTAGCTTGACTTGTTTCTAGCCAAATTTTCTTAATTTATCCTATCTATCTTTTGCCTCTGGGCCTGTTCCTTTTCTTACTTCTGGATATCTTACTTTCACTCTTACTCCATGAATATTAGACATAGAGCAAAGGACTACCAGCCTACAATCCATACCACCAGAGAAACTAGGAAACAAGGAGGACCCTAAGAGAGAAACACATGGTCCCCCAAAGAAGAGGAAAGGGACAAGAAGCCCTGAGCAAATTGGAAGTATGGAGGGGAGAAGGGAGGGAGGTAAGTAAAAGAGAAGGGGAGAAGAGGAGGGGAGGAGGAGACAAGAGGGATCAGGAAGACTGAGACAGGGGAGGAATAGAGAGCAACAAAAGAGATTCCTTAATAGAGGGAGCCAGTATAGGTTTAAAGAGAACTCTGGCACTAGGGGATTGTTCAGAGATCCACAGGGATGACCCCAACGAAGAATCTAAGCAGTAGTGGAGAGACTGTCTTTGATGTCCTTCCCCTATAATGAGATTGATGACTACCTTAGTTGTCATCCTAGAGCCTTCATCCAGTAGCTGGTCGAAGCAGGAGCAGGCACCCACAGCTAAGCACCGAGTCATACTCCCGGAATCCAGTGTAGACAGGGAGGAGGAATGAGCAAAGGAGTCAAGACTGTGTTGGAGAAACCTACAGAACCAGCTGACCTGACCTAGTGAGAGCACACAACCCCAGTCATATAGCTAGGGAACCAGCATTGGACAGAACCAAGCCCTCTGAATGTTGGTGTCAGTTGAGAGGCCTGGGAAGTCTATGGGACCTTTGACAGTGGAACCAGTATTTATCCCTAGTGCACAAATGGACTTTGGGAGCCCATTCCCTGTGTAGGGATACTATTGCAGCCCAGATACATGGAAGAGGTCCTAGGGCCCAAATGTTGTGACAGACTATGATGATCCCCAGTGGGAGGCCTCATTATCCTTGGGGAGTTGATGAGGGATGGGTTGGGAGGGTCATGGGGGTCATGGGAGAATGGGAGGGTGAGGGAATGGAGGGGATTGATGTGTAAAATAAGATTGTTTCTAAAAAAAAAAAATATCTAAAAGCCAGGAAACACAAGTGGGAGAAAATATGCAATTTTCTTTCTGCAATTGACTTTATTTACTAATATGATTGTTTTCAGTTGCATCCACTTTCCTGCAAATGACATTACTTCATTGTTCTTTAAGGTAAAAATGCATTGTGTGGGTGTGGCACATTTTCCTTAGCACTCCTCTGTTGTTGGACACCAAGGTTGGTTCCATAACTTAGCTATTGTGTACAGTCCTGCAATAAACATTGATGCATAAATATGTCTATGATGTGTCACCTTGGAGTCTTCTGAGAAATTACCCAGGGGTGATATAGCTGGGTCATATTGAAGATCTACTGTTAATTCTTTAAGAAACTTCCATCCTGATTTCCATAGTGGCTGGACTAGTTGACATTCCCACCAATAGTGTATAATGGTTCTCTTTTGCCCACATTTTCATCAGCATTTTCTGTTACTTGTTTTGTTAACTATTGTCATTCTGAGGTAGAATCTTTTTTTTTTTTTTGGTTTTTTGAGACAGGGTTTCTCTGTAGCTTTGGAGGCTGTCCTGGAACTCACTTTGTAGACCAGGCTGGCCTCGAACTCACAGAGATCCGCCTGCCTCTGCCTCCCGAGTGCTGGGATTAAAGGCGTGTGCCACCAACGCCCGGCCTGAGGTAGAATCTTAATATAGTTTTGATTTACATTTCTCTGATGCCTTTTTTCATATTTATTGGCCATTTGTACTTCATCATTTTTAAAAAATAATTTAGCTATTTTATGTGCACTGGTATTTTGCCTGTGTGGAAGGTGTCAGATCCCTGGAACTGGAATTACAGACAGTTGTGAGGTGCTGTGTAGGTGCTGGGAGTTGAACACAGGTCCTTTGGAAGAGCAGCCAGTGCTCTTACACACACACAGCAATCTCTCCAGCTCTCTGAAGTTCATCTTTTGAGACCTGCCTGTTCTTTTCACTAACTCGCTTGTAGGTTGGACTGTTTGCTTTCTTGTTGTTTATTTCTTTGAATATTCTAGATATTACTACCCTGCCAGATATATAGCTTACAATGATATCCTCTCATCCTCTAGGCTGTCTCTTGACTGCATAGAAAAGTCCCCTTTTCTGTACAGAGGCTTTTTAGCTTCATGGTCTCATTTGACAATTGTTGGTCTTATTTCCCAAGCAACTGAAATACTACTAAGAAATTCCTTGCCTTTGCCTAGAGTTTCAGGTCTGATGCTAAGGTCTTGATCAGTTTAGAGTTGACTTTTGTGCAGGGTAAGGTATAGGAACCTAGTGTCCTTCTTCTACTTGTGGATATCCTTTTTCCCAGCACCATCTGTTTAAAGGACTGTCTTTCTCCCAATTAATTTAGCATCTTCATCAAAAGTCAGGTGGCTGTAGTTGAATGAGTTCCTATCTGGGTTCTCTATTCCATTGAGCTCCATGACTGCTTTTATGCCAGGACCATGCTGGGTTTTTGCTTGTTTGTTCACTATGGCTCGCTGGTATACCCTAAAATAAAGTGTGATGATTCATATGACATGTAATGATGCTCATAGATTCCTTTTG